AGTTTTATTATTTTATTTTATCATTAAATGATTCATAACATCTCGTTCTCGTTGGACTATTTTTATTAATTTTCTCCAACGTTTTGTGAATTTCGAAAAGAGTTTAGAAAAACGCACAAAAATTGTTGGAGTGCGATGAGACTTCGTGAGTCACTTAATAAAGTTAAAACTCAAAATTGGATTGTCAATTACATTTTTTCCTCGTCAGTCTGATCAACAGATTGCGTGAAATCTACAAAAAACATTAAAAATATTGGAAAGACAGCAATACCTCATTAATATCATGACAATTAGGGTTTTCTCATGCAATTATTGTTTATTAATTCATTAAGAGGATTGAACAAGCGGTTTTAAAGGGATTCTGATTAAATGTGGAGATCGAACAAATTCATTATTTCTGGGAAACTCTATTTTATGATAACAATAAAATGCATGATGGAGTCAGCAAAAGTTAATTAATTTTAATTAGTCAAAGATTATAATTATCATGGGAATGAATAGTTGAATCGTATGGAAGAATTAAATGATTAGAATTAGATGATTTAAAATAAATAAATAATTCGAGAAGACATTTACAAATGTTATCAATATTGAAATAAATATTGGAGTAATTGACAATGAAATTAGTAGTTACATTTTTCGTCGTCCCCTTGGCGACTCGGTAATATCCTCCGTCCAAAAAAGTGACTCAATGTAAGCCTTTTAGACAAGATCAAAGGGATCTGGTAATGGATGCTAGTGTAACTATTGAAGAAGTTCCAGATATGGACCAGAGAGTGTGTGCAACATCTGTGTGGCAAGAATAATCGTGAATGGTGAGGGGAGAGTGGCTTTGAAGAATTTAGGGGTACCCACGTGGATGTGAAAAGAAAATTAATTGCACGGGAACAACTTTTCCTTCTATTCTCCAACAATTTTTACTTTGGAGAGTGAATTTTCGATTCAACAGAACTGCCAACACTCATTAACTTCTCAATAACTTTCGTGGAATGGTATTTCCAAAAATGGAAATTTCAGTGGTCTCAAGACCGAAATAAAATCATGAATCATGAATCATGAAGTGAACTTAAAATATGGAAAAGGATTAAAAAATCTGCATGAAATTTGCGTGAGAATTGACTCTCGATTCTAGAGAGCAGCTTTTTTATTTCTTCATGCATGGAAAAATAAAAAAGATGTAATTTTTCTTCAATTCCACTCTCCCACTTGGAAAGGAGATGAATAAAATTCTATATGAATCCTAAAAGCTCATACGCTAGCTTTTCTCATCGAAAGAAGCCAGTAAAGACATCCCAGAAGAGAATAAAAATTTTTCAACCGACGGACGAGAAAGAGTGAGGCGTATATTCAAATATAAATCTCATTGAGAACATATCCCCTTGGTTTTTTTATTTAGGCCTCACCCCCACCTCATGCATACCTTCTATGAATTTGCGGGATCAAAGGGCAGAAGATCGTCGGAGTGGGGATTGGCCAGAATGAAATTGGAATTGCGATTGAAATGGTTTGTAATTCTTCTCTCGTCTTCGTCCTCTCGCTCATTTTGATTTTTCAAAGTTCCTTTTTTCCAAGCCCCGGAACTTTTTTTTTGTCTCCAGACCCTCGTCCACTTTCACCCTCTCTGGTTCCGCGGATAGTGCACTCTCCAAAAGTGTTTTTGCCTGATAAAAATGATAAAAATATGAGGGGGTAGACAATTAATTTATGTCGTCGAGCATCAGCTGTTGGGGGTATTCACAGGTTTTTTAAGGACATGTCGATTAAATTTTCTCGTGAATATTCTGTGAATGTACCAGGTTTATGGGATGATATTAAAGTGCACTCTTTTGACAATAAGGACTTGATAAGTGCAGGATTATATTTGAGATTTGTCATTTAAGAGGAGATTAAGTTGCTCAAATTGCAACGGAGAGGGATGAATTAAAACAAGTAGAGGACAAGGAAAAATTTTTTAGACTGAGAGAATTAGAGGAGAGAAAAATGTCAATAGAGTTATTTTCACTGTCTAAAGATTCACTGGAATGCGATAGAAAAATGCTTCCACACATTTTTTTATTTTTGACAATTTTCAGAGAGTAATTGAATCGAAATTGAATTGAAAAACCGAGTAGTTCATTGATATTCGGAAATATCAGTAAATTGAGTGCAAGTTGAATAAATTCCCGGAAATGAGATTTGAAATTCAAATGAAATATTTCAAATTCCCAGAGATAAAGACAATGTAATTAATCTGTATGTAATTATTCCTCATTACCGATATAATTATCAAACAACATCGTAATTCCTGTCTCAAACTCGAAACTCTCTCCACCAAAACAAAAACTAATAACGAAAGAAATTGATGTCACTGGGCGTAAAAATAAATAAAAAAAAAAGGTAAGAGGAGAATGAAATGAGAAATACAGAACATTTCAAGTACGACTGTACGTCGACTGGAAAATCCATTTCGTTTTAACTTGACGTTGAAATTGAATGTTTTGTAGTTGTATGGCGAGAGGTAGGAGATGGTGGGAGAGATGGGGGGTGTTGGGGGGTGGTGAAGGAGGTGGGGGTAGGTGGAAGAGGAATAAGAGGAGAGGAAGTGCAAAAATAAAAATAAAAATGGCGTCGCAGG